AATAACTGCACCAAAAATTATGCCGGATTGTGATTTTTGAACTTATCGATTGAATATCGATAAAAATAGAGCCACGTCTTTCGTACCATAACAAAGTCATGAAAACACTGGTCCCGGAAGTAACTTTTATAAGTTTTAGTTTTAAATCCCTTTGAATGGGGGTTGCGAAAAAAATTTGAGGGATTTTGAGCAGTATAATAATGAATTCAAAATTAGCTTGTTAATACGAAAAAAAAATTCCAAGTAGAATTTTTGCTCGGACCTCCAAAGTGATCAAAATTTCATGAACTTTGGTGGATACACTATTTATGTGTTTAAGAACTGAAGTGTCTAACGGCTTGTAAGACTTTAAAAAAAGGATATTCGCATTTTGCCATCGATGACAATGAATATTCACGTCGTAAAAAGTGGTCGGCGGTGGTTGTGCCTGCGTAAATTGAATGAAAAGCAATTTTTTTGTAATTTCCCCAAAATGGTTTCTACTTTTCTTGTTCAAAGATACCAAACTTCGTCAAGCAAAAACTTGTGATTTCTGCAAAATGAAAAAGGGCGTGCGTTAAAACCTAGCTAAATCGGTTAAGGTCATCCTTCTATGTGTTAGGAACATAAAGAAGAAACGTTGCAAATGCTGTTGAGACGTTTGGGAAAAAAAATTGGTATTGGTCCGTGTATAATCGGCTGATATACTTAACGGCCCAATAAATCCACTAAGTCATAACCATGGTTGCTTAAAGGAATTAATACCTAAATAGATATACTCAATACGAGAAGTCGGAGGAGGCGAATTTAAGAAGCAAGATGCGTTATCGTCATTCGTATAGATGTGACATGCGAACCACTAAGAAAAGTAAAGGAATCATTTGTCAGGAGTGCGTGTTTCAAAAATATTTTAAAAACCTAAGCTTTTGATTGAGAAGTCTAATCGAAAAAGTACGAATTGTTTTGGATTCTACGCACCAAAATTAATAAGAAAAGTGTTTTCCCGAGAAATTTTGGTGTAGTCGATTTTTGGTAAAAAAGGAAGGTTATACACTGCCTTTTTTTGAGGCCCGACAAAAAAATTGTCTCAGATCGACAAGGAAAAAAAATTTTCTTATAGAATGTGGCCTGTAGAATCCATAATTTCAAACAGTTCCAAGATTGGGCTACTAGTTCAAAAGTTACAGCTCTTTGAATTTTCTTTCGAAATTGGTTTCTAGTCCATAACTTTTGATTGAGAAGTCTAATCGAAAAACTACGAATTGTTTTGGATTCTACGCACCAAAAGTAATAAGAAAAAGTGTTTTCCCAAGAAATTTTGGTGTAGTCGATTTTTGGTAAAAAAGGAAGGTTTATACACTGCCTTTTTTGAGCCCCGAAAAAAAATTGTCTCAGATAGACCCGGAAAAAAAATTTTCTTATAGAATGTGGCCTGTAGAATCCATAATTTCAAACAGTTCCAAGATTGGGCTACTAGTTCAAAAGTTACAGCCCTTTGAATTTTTTTTTCGAAATTGGTTTCTAGTCTATAACTTTTGATTAAGAAGTCTGATCGAAAATGTACGAATTGATTTGGATTCTACGTACCCAAATTAATAAGAAAAAGTGTTTTCCCGAGAAATTTTGGTGTAGTCGATTTTTGGTAAAAAAGGAAGGTTATACACTGCCTTTTTTGAGCCCCGAAGAAAAAATTGTCTCAGATCGACCCGGAAAAAAATTTTCTAATAGAATGTGGCCTGTAGAATCCATAATTTTAAACAGTTCCAAGATTGGGCTACTTGTTCAAAAGTTACAGCCCTTTGAATTTTCTTTCGAAATTGGTTTCTAGTCCACAACTTTTGATTGAGAAGTCTAATCGAAAAAGTACGAATTGCTTTGGATTCTACGCACCAAAATTAATAAGAAAAAGTGTTTTTCCAAAAAAATTTGGTATAGTCGGTTTTTGGTAAAAAAGGAAGGTTAAGTATTCAAATACTATGCGAAGTATTCGAATACTTCTCAAAGTATTCAAATACCTTGCGAAGTATTCGAATACTAAATATTTGTGAAAGTATTTGAGTTGCAAATACAAATACTGCTTCCATAAAAGTATTTAATTACAAAGTATTTGAATAATTTAAAGGATTTGAATACTACAAAGTATTTACAAAATCGAATAGCGCCCAGCTCTGTTTTACGGTGAGCAATTGACATGCCGCATTCTCAAAATATCGACAAAAACGCACTTTTTACCACCAGCACGTTAGTAAGAGAGGTATTGGGGTAAAAAATGATCTTGGTCGGTCGGGCTGACTGTCGGTCCGTCTGTACTCTCATTTCCGGCTAAACGGCTGAACCGACTGGACCCAAATTTGTTACATACATTCTTAAAAAGGAAGGAATTAACAGTCTTTGACAGAACGCGCATGCGGAGATGTTCGGGTGGTGTTTGTGAACAGAAAATTTTTCTAAATGCGGAAATGCAGACCCTGCTTATAGTAGGATCTGGTAAATGGTATTTTGTCTTAAAAATACAATGTGCAAAACTGAAAAGTGTACAATTCAAACTTGATAACACCTTCAAGAGCTTATTTATTTTATGACAACTAACGAATTCATATTTCTGGATTAACTGTTGATGAACTTTAAAAATTGCCAATATAGCTCTCTTATTTTTGACATCAAAACAATATGTCATATTACAACTCATGTTGACCATGCAATTCTCTACCTAATGAGGATATCGTATACATGCTGTTCGATATTTTGAAAATGCGGCTGTAATTATATTTCAACTCCCAAATAGACCAATAAATGTACCGCTAGGAATGTAATTTAGTAAGAATAATCTTCCCTAGACAACCCTACTTTCCGCTAGTAAAAAATTAGACTTGATGTTTGGGCGCTATGGAGATCCTACTATTTGCATATAAGATGCCTCAGTTTTGATTTGAGAAATTGTTGAATAATATGCCATCCAATATTTTATTTGCAGCACGGGTGAGCCTGGAAACCGATTCATAAATCAAATATCAAAAGGAAGTAACAGTTTCTAAAATGACATAGTAACCACCTATTCAAAAGAAGGTTTTTACATATTATGTAGATGCTATCTTTATAGTATTGTACAACCATAATTTCAGTGGGAATTTCCAAAAAAGTACATAATTAATTAATTCCTGAATAGCGACAAAACTTTACTTAAGTAACAGTACCTAAATTACAAACAAAGCCGGTTCCCCAATTTACACAGGTATCTAAACAAAACGTTCTAATTTATTTCCCTAATTATGCTAAAAATTAACATTTTGTAGTATACGTTCTGTTAATTTGTGTAATAGTCAAGGTTATGGTTATATGTAAATAAAGAAATCTAAATTGTAAAGGTCACTTTTTCCTTTATTTTACATTGCGAACCATTAGGAAATCTACGAAACATTTAAACTGAATTGATTAATTAAAGGTTAATTAATTGTAATTTTTACTACGAGATTTATTAAAGTAAATTTTCTAGGCTTTTCCAATAACGTTGGCGCTTGTAACTATGCCCCGGCGATTAGACCGGAAGTCTGACCGTTAAGCATTTTGATCAAAAGCCAATTGATTAATTTTGAAAGAAAAGGGAAAAATTATTGTCCAATCAAATTTCTTGAGCTTGAGTTAGACGCCCGACCCCGAGAGGCTTTAAGCGGCAATATAAACTGCGGTTTAAACTTGCTGTGACTGCGGGTTGCTATAATAAAATCAATTATAGAGCAAAGAACGTGTAATTAGTGAACTAATACAAAAATTACAGTTATTTTATTAGCCATTATTGCAAGAATGTAACCTTTGTTACCTTCAGACATCTATAAATTCAATTACAAAACCATAATTTGTCAAAATTCTGGCTTAATGCAATAAATAGGTTAATGATCAAGTTAACTACTTCGATTTCACTCAATAAATCAATTTATTTAATTAATGTAAATGTAGGACTTCCCGGTTAAGTATATCAATAGAATGAAATAAAGACACATACAGAAGACATTCATTCGGCACTGGGAAATAATGTTTTGTTAATTTACATTTTTGAAGGAATCTTCAATCATTCATTCCCAGGATATTTATTAAAGTTCTGAAAGTGTTCATTGGTATATTATTAACATTACGAGACTGGATAAATACGTAGCACTTTTACTATTCCTTTTAGCAACTTCCTTTATTAATTAGAGATTCGTCAACATAAATTAAGAGCTCATTTAAATCCGGTGAATATATCCCAGAAAAGAATGGGTTCTGGTCTTTCATTACTAGCAAATCGAAAAACTCCAAAACGGTCAACAAAAAAATTATTCTGGGTATACCGGTCGCAATGTAAAATGACACATGTACAATTCCGGTTGTACGTAGGTATTATTTGGTTAAATAAATAAACTTTCTAAGGATAATTAAGAAATTCTAGTAAACATAGTTTCAAAGGAACGATGCGTGTAAAGAAAGGCAATTACACAGAATTCGGATTAATAAAACAAGCATTTTCTAATTTATACCTGAAATAAATCAGGAAGAATTTCTAATTTTTATACCACCTTTGGTGTTTAAAATTATTTTATGTAACGATCGACCTACTCCAGTATTAATTTTAGAAACAATAGGTAATGAATAGTGAAAGATTATTAAACCGCGAATAATTAATGGTAAATTCAGATTGCGTAATCCGCTAAGTTGTTGACTTAAAATTGGGCTGCTTTTCATTAATTGCAACATTGAATACTAATTTGATTAAACCATTCAACAGCAAATTACAAGATAATTGCTCGTTTGATATTTGTATACTTTCAGATCACTGTAACACATTTTGAAAGTGACTGTGCAAATTTAAAAGTGTAATTCGCCTTGTAGGTGCTAAATCGTGAGGAAATAAGTAAAAATCATAACGCCACTTTTCACATTCGTTCGAAACCGGTATTGCAAATTTCGGCCAAAATTGCAAAAAAAAAGAAAGTTTGCGATAAAAATATGGAGACGACTAAAAATTGGTAAATTAAAAGGGTACTAACCATTTTCAAGATTATCCGATAAAAAAATATGCACAACACAACCTACTACACTAGATATCTTCAGCTCGCGAGCATTACACTGTTCACTGGCACATTCTAGCACCAAATCAACACTTAGTAGCCAAAGAAAGAAAGTCTTAAAGCGGTTAATATCCGCCTCTTAAATATGTGTCAGAAAGTATGTGGGGCGCAGACGGTGCAGCTAGTTACCTGCACCCTTCCGTTGAACCTTACAGATTGGAATCCCTTCAATTAACTGAAGGTATTTCTTGAGAAGTTTATATAATTTTATTACGGATTAGGGTTTCAAGGTCACACTTTCAATTACTAAAAGAAATTTGTACCTATACGTGGTTAAGAACAGTTTGAATGACATTGAAGGAAGAGCGGATTTTTACATTTGAAACGTTTTTGCGTACCTATTTAGCTTATTTAGGGCATTTTTGCGTTAATTATCTCCCGCTGTACATCAATGAAAGTACTTTTAGGGAAGCAAATCGTTTTTCCGTATCCGGAAATAAAGGGTTGTTTACTGTAATTAAGTTTAGCTGATCAACTTATGAATTTATGATGCTTCAGAGGGCAATAAGTTATGGTTACACTTGAAACGACTTCATGTATGTAGAGCGGTTTTAGGGAAAGATGGTGATCCCAACAAAAATTCATAATCTATGATATTCTGTGATATAATTGTTAGTTTCATTCGTGACCTAAGTGAAGACAAATTAACGCCTTGGGTATGTACCGAACATGCCCTCTTTCCGCCCGTCCTAAGACTTTCAAAGGAGAACGTGGCTTAGATATACGACATCGAGCAGCCCATACCATTCTCCCAAAAGATTGGAACCTTCATCAGCGTCTTTGCAAACTCAAGTCCAATAGGTTTTCGGGTTCTGAAAAGAATTCAGAAAGGAGCTCGGATACAAACATCCGACATCAGTCTCGCTTGCCTATAAACATGGGAATTTTTCCTCCTAGTAATGAGATAGACATAATCTTTCTTACATTATAATTGATCTATTTTCTAGTTTTTTATCCGAAATCCGAAATCAACGAAATTTGGTATCTATGAAAAATGATATCTTGAAATATGAAAATCGCGAAGAAAACTAAGTTTTCGAGAGAAAAATTCAATTGCAATTTGGCACGACGAGGAAGAAATCGAATAAAATACATATCGTTACAATAATATTTTACCCGAAATCCTCATGAAACCTTCATGCTTACTTTATGTCAGGAAATTTCCATGACAAGAACACAAGAAATGGGGGGATATAAAATTTAATTAAAACATTTCAAATTCGAAATACGAACCCTCTCACCACGACGAGAGCAGTGGCGGATTTACATATACGCACACTAGGCACGTGCCTAGGGGCGGCAGCTTTAGAGGGCGGCATTTTTTGCACTATATTTATTTTAGGTAACATTTTACGTTTTAAAATAAGTCCCTTAACTAGTTACAAATGACAATAATCTTTAATTAAAATTATGAAATAAATTGGAGTTGGTAGATAGTTTAAACAAACTTTAACTGTAAGAACGATAATCGACATCGCAAGGTTTGACGTGTGTGAAAACTTAATCTTAGGTATACTGTATTTCTTTTCATATTAGTTTTAAAAATTTCAAGTTATAATTTGATTTTTATTAACATCTTAAAATTTATTGCAATTTAAAGATTATTTTGGGGCGCATATCTTTCGGTGTACCTAGGGGCGCAAAAAATTTAAATCCGCCACTGGACGAGAGCATAGCCCTAGGGAAAGGAGGGGAAATATAACATTCAACCGTAGACTTAGATTTCCATAGTCAGGTGGAAATCATTAAAATTAGAACAAAGCATGGGCTCTAAACTAGATAAGAACAAAGTACTCTCAAAGGGACTTTATGGAGCTGAATCAAGATCATTGGAAGCTCCTTACTGAGCTTGAGGTTTGTTTACTGCTTTAATTCGGCACTCGAAAACCAATTATGCTACCTTTCAACAAATGCATCATCAATCACTATGCCAATACAAAATCAAACATATTATCCCTCTCTTGTTCTGGGCCCTCAACAGGCTTGCTTTTTAGAGGTGCCTCTGCAGACTACTCCGGTATTTACCTTACGAATTAGGAAACTGCAGGAAAATCTAATTCGGAGTAGCCGGCAGAATGCTCGAAACTGGTTTAAGGTAATGCCCATCTCTGCCACAGATGAAAAATTCACCTCAACCCAGGTTCCAACACCCGACCTCTGGATTTATAGTCCAACGCTCTACCACTGAACCATAAATCAAATTCAACAAATATATTACGCTCCCACATAATACACACAAATATCTAAGTACACTTACACGAATCTAATGTAACTATGTACAACAAATCTTCAAGATTCCCTAACTTGTATCAACCTTCCTGTAAGAAATAATAAAATCCACGCTATAGTGAAGATATACTAACATTAGCTAATGTAGAGGAAATTTCACAATATCAAAACATTGCAACATCACTTGTAACTTCTAAAACCTAATGGAAGACATTCTCAATATGAGCTCTCTGTAACAAATCCGACCCAAAAGTACACCCCTGTTTAACTACTAACTCATTCACAATTATTGCGTAATTTTGGACAAAGGTCCTACTAATTCAAATTTATTATAACAAGCATCTATTAAATTCACAAGAAATAAAGAAATTCAATTATCTACATCCTAGTTATTTAATGATGCAATTAAAGAAAATAATTACCAAAGCGAAGCTACCTACGTTCTGTCCCCTCAGCTAAAACTCGCTCGAAGAAGAAGCACCGGTCATATATCTACTAGCAAATCTTCGTCAGTGTGCAATTTGAATTGCTAAAATTCGCCCTAAAACATTTCCAGTGGCGTAGCATCGATTGAGAATCAAAAATGCGTTAAAAATTTGCTTTTACATAACAATCCATCATAAAGACTGTAATTTTTGTGGTACATAAAAAATGTTGTTTTCTTTTTTGATTTCGTTTAATGTGGTACATCAAATATTTTTGTTTACTTTTTACCACCCGCACGTGAGTAAGGGAGGTATTGTATTGGGGTAAAAAATGACCCACTCCACCCATTGGTTTGATAGAAATTCACGTTTTGAAGCACCAGGAATCCGAATCAAACAAAATCTCGATTGTGTCGGTCTGTCGGTCCGTCTGTACTCTCATTTCCGGCGAAACGGCTGAACCGATTGAAACCAAATTTGGTACATATTTTCTTAGACATAAAAAGGCAGAATCGCGCGTGCGCAAGTGTGTGGGCGGTATCTGTGCTAGCCACAGCAAATTTTTTTACCTTGTTTACGTACCTTGTTTACTACCTTTTAAGTGCTTAAGAAAGAATATCCCTCCACAGTTTTAAACATTACGCGCTCTTACACAACAATCTGTCTATTGTGAGAACCGAGGCTTGCACTCAAGAAGGATTTTTTCTGAGTTCCTAGGGGAGCGATCGCGACGGCAGAACCTAGGCTTGCTATTTAAAATATCCCTTTATCGTCTTATATAATAAGCAGCAATTTCTTTCCTTGTTTGATTTTGTTTATAGCGTTCACAAACTATACCTTTAAGTTCACATAAAGGTATAGACCGAGCTCGTTTGAAAAAATACAATTTGTTTAAGGAAACGCACTTGCACCTGTAGTTAAACTGTAAAGTCTAATCTAAAAAATTATCAAAGTCCTCGTTTGAGATCGAAGGGACTTCAGCGCATTTTTGTGTGGCAGATCAGTATTCTATTAGCCACTTTCGACTCAACCATCAATAACAGATCTTGTCGAAGGCTACTACATTCACTAACCGCTTCCCACTTTCCGCGTGCACCGCAATTCGCTTTTAAAGATTTAACTCCACCATCAGTAAGATCGTGTTGGGGGCTACCACATTCCCTTTGACGGTACCCACTTCCGACGTTCCGTTCACCCGCAATTCGCGTTTGAAGATTTGACTCCACCATCAGGAAGATCGTGTGGGGGGCTACCACATTCCCTTTGACGGTACCCCTTTAGACGTCCCGTTTACCCGCAATTCGTGTTTGAAGATTTGACTCCACCATCAGGAAGATCGTGTCGGGGGCTACCACATTTCCTTTGACGGTACCCATTCCGACGTTGGTTCACCCGCAATTCGCGTTTGAAGATTTGACTCCACCATCAGGAGATCGTGTCGGGGGCTACCACATTCTCTTTTACGGTACCCACTTCCGACGTCCCGTTCACTCGCAATTCACTTCTATTGGCGGCACGAGAAAGAGAGACAGCGATTCGAGATTTACGAAACGTTAAACCGCGTGAGTTCGCAACGGAAGGTAAAAGGCGCCCGAAGTTGACTACTTCTCGAAGACGCGCGCGCGCGCCTCGCGAAAGGTCGTTAATTTCGCCCCTATGACAAAAAACAAAATTCCGTCACGCAGGAGTTGTGCGTGTTTACAACATCTTTCCGGCGACACCAATTTGAAAAGAATCGGACCAAAACTGTAGTAGAAGATAGGAAAAAACTGAAAAACCTTCACGTTAGTATACTACGCACGAGGATGACGCCCAGATGTCGCCAACCCCACATCATGTAGCCATGTCCCTAAGGTTGACAAATTTCACGGCCCCGTAGCTACACGTACACCCGTTGCCTTTCTACAAGAGTTCTTCTACGCGCCCACATTTGCTGCCAGCCAGCCAGCCAAAGTGAGATTAAAAGCTACTTTTTACAAATAAATTTGCAAAAATGCGCTAAAAAGCGACTGAGCACTTCGATCTGATCCTACGGGGTCATTGGATTTGACCCATTTTCAATAGGATTGTTACATGTGGTATATAGGTGAGCTGTGCAAAGTTTGAACCGAATCGCCCAAGCGTTTGGCAAGGACACCATCGACTCCCCTACAAAGCTTGCATCGCTTTGCTCTGCCGCTTAATAATTTCAGGCAATCAGTTGCTCTTCTCCTACACATAAATAAAACAAGTAAGGATTGTCCCACATTTAGCGAATTCATTACAAGTTTACCTCCCCCGTGCACGTGGGATTGTAGTATTTGTAGTCACTCATAAAGACTGTCAAGAATGACTACGACAAAACAGGCACTGAAGGTTAATATCTGAAAATTTCGAAACACTTATC